GCACATAACAACAACAGCTTAAAAACTGTAAGAATAAATTTCTGCTTCTTAAAGCCATCCACTTGTGAAACTTCTGTTTTAGCAGCACTAGATAACTAAGAAAAAGGTGATATTGGCACTTAGTGAGTACAGGCCAGAGGTGCCGCTAAACATCCTACAGTGCACAAAATAGTCCCCCACAGCTAAGAATTAACTCTTCCAAAATGCCACTAGTACTGCTCGTGAGAAACTCTGCTCTCAGTGAACATACCCTATAAATTTCACACTTTGACTGGCAAACTACGGGGTTAGTCTATTTACATATTTACAATTCCAGTAATTTCTGCATTCTTTTTCCAAAGAACTCTGATAATAACTAGTTATTATATCTATTTAAATAGCTATCTAGCTATTTAGAAAAATAGCTAAGTAGTTGAGGTTCTTCAAAAAACTGTAAACACAATTCTACCCCTTAATTTAGGCTTTCCCTTCAAATCAATGTTTCATATTCAGTAGTACTAAATCTGGTTTCACATATGATTATAAAAGAGGCCAGGGTACTTGGGATAGATGATCAATCACATTTTGATATGAACCCTATTTTTTCCTTTCCCTGAGAGATCCATCCTAATTTCAAAGTCACCAACATTTAAAAATTCAAACACTGATTATAAAATCTAAAAAGCTAGGAATTCAAGATGCAAGCAAACTTAAGTCTCTAAAACCACAAATGCAAAGTGGAGCCACCCTCCCTCAGAGGTAATGAATCACTGCTCACAAATGTAAATTCCCCAGAATCCTCATAAAACAATGTCTTCTGAAATAGATACTGACATACTTGAGACTTTTTCAGAACATATGTCATGGATTACACTCACAGCTCATACATGATGCTCTGTAAAGTGTAATATGCCTGATAAGGACTGATGACTGGTCCTTACTACCAGTCTGGTCATAGGTGAAAAGGTCAATAACTTCCAAGGGGCTTCCCAGGGTTCAGAAGCATCCTAGAATAGATGCTTGTCATTATCTTCCAGACACCACCTCCATTCTCATCTGGGATCATTTGTAAAAGCCTCCAATTGTCTAGTCTGCCTCTTCCCAGCACTCAGGGACATGGCCCTTTGAACCTGGAGATGCTCAACAGCTAGGTCAGGCATCTGATGCTCAGCAATGCCTTGAGTGATCATCATCTGTAAGAATTTCTGTCCTTGCTTCCCAGATATGTTGTTGTTGTTGTTATGTGCCATTGAGTCGGACCCAACTCATAGCAACCCCTCCTTGGGTTTCCAAGGCAGTATCACTACAGAAGTAGATTGCCCCATCTTCCTTCCGAGGACTGGCTGGTGGGTTTGAACCACCAGCCTTCTGGTTAGCAGTCAAGTGCCTTAGGCACTATGCTACCAGAGCTCCCGTAGAGCCCCTCAATCCACTGCCATCAAGTCAATTCCAACTCATAATGACTGCCATAGGGTATTCAAGGCTGTAAATCTTTACGGAAGCAGAGTGCCCCATCGTTCTTTAGTGGAGTGGCTGATGAGTATGAACTGCCAACCATTTGGTTAGCAGTCCAATGCCTTAACCACAGCACCACTAGAACTCCTTGTAGGCCCCTCAAAGTAGGAACTGTATCTCACATAAGTGTATCTCAAACACAATCAACTGGGGATCTTGTTAAATCACAGATTCTGATTCAAAAAGTCTGGGGTGGAATACAACATTCTGCATTTCTAACAAGTTTCCAGGATACTGGTGCTTCCGGTCCCAGGACCACACTTTGAGTAGCAAGGACTTATATCTACTTGAATACCCAGTGGTTGGCATTGAGCTTTGTCCCCTATAAACCAAAACCAAACCAAACTCACTACTATTGAGTTGATTCTGACTCATAGCGATCCTCATTGGGTTTCCAAGGCTGTAAATGTTTACCAAAGTAGATTGTCCCATCTTCCTTCTGCAGGGCAGCTAGTGGGTTTGAACTACCAAGCTTCTGGTTAGCAGCCAAATGTCTTATCCACTATGCCACTAGAGCTCCTTATAGGCTCTCTTACAGGCACTCAGTAAATGTTAATTGTGAAGAGTTCAATTGTTGGTTCTTTTCAATTAGGTATTAGAACTAAGAAGAATGACCTGCCACTCTGGTTTATAATCATAAATCTAACTCAGGACTCATCACCCAGATAAAGAAGCTGTTGGATCTCATTAAATATGACTTTGCTTGAATTGTATCAATCACTTTATTATTTTGTACAAACACACTGTGAGTAATTAAATCAGCCATAAAAAATATTTAACCTGGTGAAAGAACTTTCAAAATAGGGAAGAGAGATGCAGTGGGAATTATTATATTTCCCACCTGACAACATTTCAGTCTCACAAAGCAACATTAAGAAAAGGTGATGCTAGCCAGAGTCATACTTCAGATATATTAAAAAAAAAAAAAAAAATTCCAGTTGCTGTCATGTCACTTCTGAGTCATGGTGACCCCAGGTGTGACAGAGTAGAACTATGCTCCATAGGGTTTTCAGTGGCTGTTTCTTTTAGAATTCGATTCTCAGGTCTTTCTTCTGAGGTGTCTCTGGTTAACACAGAGTGGTTAATCCGCTCTTTGGTTAACAGCCAAGTGTGTTAACGTCAGCATGAGTCAGAATGGGCTTAATGGAGATGGAAACTGGTATTTCAGATACAAAAACTAAAAAAACCAAACTCACTACTATTGATTCTGACTCATAGCAACCACCTTTGGGTTTCCAAGGCAGTAGATCTTTGCGGAAAAAATCTTTACTTCCTTCCATGGAGTGGCTGGTGGATTTGAACTGCCAGCCTTCTGGTTAGTAGTCAAATGCCTTAGGCACTATGTCACCAGACCTTCTTATTTCAGATATAACCAAACCAAATCAAACTCACTGCCATTGAGTCGAGGCCGACTCATAGTGACCCCTCCTTGGGTTTCTGATGCAGTATCTCTATGGAGGTAGATTGCCCAATCTTCCTTCTGAGGAGTGGCTGGTGGGTTTGAACTGCCAACCTTCTGGTTAGCAGTCAAATGCCTTAGGCATTACGCCATCAGAGCTCAAATATATATTTTGGA